AGCCTCTCGTCGGAGAAGAAGAACTAATCGCCAGAAAAGGGAGCCGACCGCCGACCCGCCGACCCATCGTCGCGCTAGAGTCACTTTCGACTGCCGAAAAAGATAAAAAAATTCTCCTATCCACTCGGAATTTGATTCCGAACTTGACTCATTGTTGTTTGCGTCTACTGTCGGGGGTGAAACACTACTAGGAGAAGTTATCTACAGGGCTTGTGCCGTGGAGATAGCAAATATAAAACTGAGTGTAGACCTAATAGAGTTAGACACGGGGGGTTTTGATGTAATCTTAGGAATGGATTGGCTAGCGGCGTATCACGCCACCATAGATTGCTTTAACAAAAAAGTTGTATTTAATCCTCCTAACGAGGAGCCATTTACAAATTAATAAAATCATTCAGTACTTATTCATTGATAGCAAGTTTTTTTAACTTTTAGTGCCTTAATATTGTTGTTTTCTCTTACTAGGCAAGCCCAAGAAGAAAATTTGTATTCAAGAGATTCCGGTAGTCTGAGACTTTCTAGATGTGTTTTCGGACAAACTACCCGGTCTGCTAGTGGACAGAGAAGTCGAGTTCACTATAGACCTACAGCCAGGTACCCAGCCCATTTCGGTTGCTCCTTACCGCATGAGCCGCATTGAGATGGAAGAGCTGAGGAACCAGATCATTGAATTGCAAGCCAGTGGTTTTATTAGACACAGTGTGTCCCCTTGGGGTGCTGGAGTCACTTTTGCAATGAATGGAGATGGAATGTTGAGACTGTGCATTGATTACAAAGGATCGAACAAGGTTACAATCAAGAACAAGTATCCCTTTCCCCGGATTGATGACTTCTTCGATCAGTTGCAGGGTGCACAGGTCTTCTCTAAAATAGACTTGCGATCAGGTTACCATCAGGTGAAGATAAGAACAGAAGACATCCTCAAGACGGCCTTCCGAACCAGGTACAGACACTATGAGTTCCTGGTTATGTCATTTGGGCTAACCAATGCCCCGGCAATCTTTATGGATCTGATGAACAGGGACTTCAGAGAGTTATTGGATCAATTTGTTATCCTGTTCATTGATGACATCTTACTCTACTCAAAAAGCAGAGAAGAACATGTTCACCATCTTGCCCAAGTTTTGCAGGTCCTCAGAAATAAGAAGTTATATGCAAAGTTGAGTAAGTGTGGATTCTGACTTGAGCAGACCGCCTTCCTATGACACATCATATCGAAGGAAGGGGTATCAGTGAATCTCGAAAAGGTTGAAGCGGTACTTGGCTGAGAGAAGCTGACATCAGTTAAGAAAATCTGTAGCTTCCTTGGGATGACAGGTTATTACTGCAGGTTCGTTGAAGGATTCTCTAGTCTAGCAGCTTCTCTAACCCGACTCACAAAGAAGAATGTCAAGTTTGAGTGGAATGAGGACTGCAAAAGAAGTTTTTCAGAATTAAAGAAGCGGCTGACTACTGCACCCGTGCTGACTTTACCGAGTGGATCAGGAGGATATCCAGTTTATAGTGA